CAAGGACTTAAAAAAGAAAAGAAAAACTAATTTTTAACTCTAGAAATAAGTTAGGTCATAATTCTCAACTAGTACAGATCCCGTGCGATGCACGGGGTGCACAAAAGTTATTTATCGAGTCTTATAATTATATAAATGATAAAGAAAAATGTACGAGATATATATAGTATGTGACATGTAATAGGCCAAAATGTGAACACGGGTGATGCACGGGGTGCACAATTTTAAGGTCATTTATTAGTTATGAGTATGTGCGATTCACGGGGTGCACAATTTTCTAATATGTGTAATACAAATACATACCGTATGCACGGGATAGAAGCACTAAATGAGTTATTTCACAGAGCTTGCCCGTTAAGTACCTCCTGAATACGGGTGCACAATTTGTAGTACGTACCATAAAATCAGAATATATTTCCGTACAATTAGATAATAAATAAAAGCCTTTTTTATTTTAGTAAAGATTTTACGTACTTTTTTATTTCCATTCAATTTTGTAGGATGCATTAAATATTGATTAGATTTTATATGTAAAATAAAATAAAAAATAACTTGAATAATTTTACGTGTTGCAATATTTTATATTTAGAAAAATTAAAAAATCTTCTTTTACGTATTGCATACCAACATTTTAGGAATTACATGGATATTCCTAAATTAATATTGCATACCCAATATTTTAGGAACTAATTAAATGCTAATTTGATTTGCATACAAAAAATAATTAGGGTTGACTATTCTACATACTACATTTAGTAAATAGTATAGCTTTTAATATAAGTATAGATATCAACTCAATATTTATTTTGTATATACTATCATCTCAATATTTATTTACATATATTTTATATATTTAATGTAAATCTTTTCATTTTCAGTCAATCAAGTGCAATAATATCTTATTAAAGCTTTTGACCGAGTTGAATGGCTCTGCTTAAAGAAAATTATGCTTCAAATGGGATTCCATAGTGATTTTGTGAAGCTTGTTATGATTTGTGTTACTTCTACCTCCTTTTCCTTCAAGATTAATGGAAGCATCAGTGGTTATGTTTTACCTTCTAGGGGAATTAGGCAGGGGGATCCTCTATCCCCCTACCTCTTTCTTATTGTCACTGAATTGCTTACTGCTCTCATTCAAAACTCAATCTCCTTTGGTATGCTTAAAGGGATGAAACTTTCCAGAAATGGGCCTGTGCTGTCTCATATTCTCTTTGCAGATGACTCTCTGTTTTTCCTTAAAGCTGGGGTTGACCAAGATGGGTTTCTCATGAACATTCTGGAGCAATACAAACTTTTCTCTGGTCAAGCTATTAATCTACAAAAATCTGCTGTATTTTTCAGTAGAAACACACCCCTCCACCTTCAAAGATCAATCTGCAGCTCCTTGAACAATATTACTTCTCACAGGTCAACTAAATACTTGGGATTGCCACTGGGGATTGGCAGATCCAAAAAAGAAGTTTTTGCTTATTTAGTGAACTCAGTCAGAGCTAAGCTTACCTCTTGGAAATCTCAGCTTCTTAGCGTTGCTGGAAAGGAAGTCCTTCTCAAAGCTATTATCCAAGCTCTTCCAGTCTACACAATGGCTTGTTTCACCCTGCCAGTGTCAATCTGCTCTGAAATTACAAGTTTATGTGCAAAGTTTTGGTGGAAATCTGGAACTGAGCAGGCTAAAGGAATCCATTGGAGAAATTGGAATTTCCTCTCCCTCCCTAAAGAGAATGGTGGTCTGTCCTTCCTTGACCTTTAGCTTTTCAATAAAGCAATGATCTGTAAACAGCTGTGGAGGATTGCCTCAAATCCAGAGCTTCTAGTAAGCAGAATCCTCAAGGACAGGTACTACCCTAGCTCTTCTCTGGTTAATGCCTCTAGAAATCCCAGTGGATCATGGATGTGGAACTGTTGGATGCACAATATACCTTTCTTTGCTAAATGGTTAAAAATTGAAATCAGAAATGGCAAGAACACTAGAATATCTGATCTGAACTGGATTCCTAATCATAGTAGACCCAACCCCTCTCTCATTCCTATTGCTAGAGATCACTTGATCTGGTTTAAAGATTTACTGAATGATGAAGGCACTCACTGGAATGACCGGTTGGTGAGGCAAGTTTTTGATGAAGTTGATAGCAATGCAATCTTGAACATATCCTCTCTATCCCCTAGCAGAAATGATAGATTATATTGGGGTTTGAATACAAAGGGTTGCTTTTCTGTTTCCCAGACTTACTCACACCTCATGTCTCTCAAAATCCAGAATTTGGACATCCCAGAATGCAGCTCTTCTGCTATCACCAAGAACTCCATCTCATTCAAACATTGGAAATTGAAGATTGCAGGCAAGGTCAAGCACTTTATCTGGAAATGCATCTCTGGATCCCTGCCTGTAGCTACTAATCTGAACAGGAGAGGCATTGACTTGGACACCACTTGTTCCATCTGTGGTGAAGCTGCTGAATCCTTGGAACACTTGTTTTTTACTTGTAGCAGATCCATCAATTGCTGGAAGCTTAGTCCTCTCCAATGGGATGGCCTTTTATGCTGCACTGACTCCTTTAAGACATGGTGGTATCACATTTGCTCACTGGATAAATCTGAAGTTGCTGAAGCTTGAATCCAACTCACCACTTACATGCTTTGGTGGCTTGGAAATCTAGAAACTTGTGGCTTTTTCAAAAAACTCTCATCCCAGAGCCCATCCTAGTTAAATTGGCCCTCACTGATTGGATGGAGTTCTCTGCAGCTGCTTCTTCATTTGCAGTTTAGTTCTTTTCCTTGTCTGTCACTTTGGTTTGGTTCTTTCCTTTTAGTTTTTCCCTTGCTAGGCTCTTTGAGCAGTGGCAGGTGTTTTGGTTTTAGTGTTGATTGTTGTTGTTGGTTTGGCTTTGTTGTTTTCTTTCTTTGTGTTGAGGCTCTAGACCGCTTATGGCGTGTCTCTCATTTTTAGTTTTCGGATTGATGTGTTGTAATTCGAACTTTGTTCACCCTTTTGAGTTTAATATAGTTGAATCTGTCGTTCGGAAAAAAAAAAAGTGCAATAATATCTTTATTTAGGCTATAATATTTCATATATTGTAAACATATTATTTAGAAATTTTTGTACATGTTCTATCTATATATACATTTACATATAAACGTATGTATGTACATATGTAAATTTAAATATTGTTAGACATGTTTTCATGAATTAATGTAAAAGATTTTATGTGATTTCACATCTTTTTAAATAGTTTAGACATATTTTCTTTACAAAATAGTTTAGAAAAAGTTTAAGTAACTTCAATCTTTCAATAATGATATATAAAATTTTAGATACTATTCCTACGTTATATAATATTTTAGGCATTTTTTATATTTTAAACATACATTTTTGAAAATTCTTTTATAAAAGATAATTTTATGTATATGACAAATTATATCATATATTAACTCCACATGTCCAATTTATAATTATTAGTTAATATTGTTTATCTTCCTCTTTAATTTATAATTATTATTTAATATTATTTACTCGTGCATCGCACGGGATACACACTAGTCAAGATAATGAGCCTAGGGACCATCAATGTGATTGTGTATATTGATTTATAAAACAAGACTTGTCCAGCTATATGTAAGGGGTCGGTTTATTGAATTGACTCGACCTGGTGGTTTAATAAAGATAATGAGCCTAGAGAATTTCTGTTGGTGTAAGATTAAATAGTAGTAAAGTGATGAGCTTATCGACCTTTTAAAACCGATGGTATACCCTTTGGCAGAAAGATGCCTTTTGATATGTGATACATTCTAGTATAAAGGTATAATGTCTACTTATTAATTTTGTCCATCGTAGAATTAATAGGTGATTAACAGTATTTGTAGTCTTTTATAAATAGGAACATGTGGACCAATTTAAAATTATCTTCTTTATACATCCTCCTTATATATAATTCTCGAATGCGCTGAACCTACGTGGTTGATTCTGGTGCTTCGGAATCCTACTTGGCGAAGAATCATGCTTCGTAATTTGGTTTGGACAAATAATATTTATATATTAATAATTAATAATCTAGGTTCGGACATTCTATAAATATTATTTAGCTAATTTAGGTATTTTAATATTACTTGTATTAATATAACCCTTTAGTTCCTCGTAATTTTACATAGTAAGACATTAAGTGACTAATATATCACTGACTTTTGATTTGTTTCCTTCAATTGGCTATTAAATTGTGAATGTATTTTAAAAGTTGATAACTTGTTTATTTGTTATCGGTTTTACATATATAATATATCAAATTAATCATCTTTTGATGATCTTCGATTTGACATCCATTTTGTATATATGAAATAAATAAATTATATTTATTTTTATAATAATAAAAAATAATACTATTTATTAAAATTCATTAGAAAAATAAAATTATTTCTCAATTGATATATTTATGTTTAAAGTTAAAAAAAATTATTATAATATAACACGAGTAAGTCGCACAAATAAAAAGTGTCATACTAAATATATAATAATATATATATTTTTATAAAAGGTATTTAAATTTTCAACTACTTTTTCTCATTAATTTTAAATTTTAAGAAAAAAATTAGCAAACACCCGTATAATACACGGGCGTTGTACTAGTAATACAAGATAATATTGAGAAAATATAATACTAACATAGGGTTCACATAATCCCAAGAGCTAAATAAGATGCCTTAATCTTAGTAGCGCAACACGTTATTAAAAAAAAAAAAAAAAAATATGTACGCTTGCCGATAGAAACTAAAGAAGCCCTCCAAAGAGAGCACTTGTGATCCCAATTATTTATTTAATTCACAAGAACAGTTAAAATACCAAATTTCTCATAAATAAAACTATATATATTTGAAGACCACAAGGAATCACATATAATTTCATATATATAACAGCAGAAATTATAGGTAATTATTACAATTATAATCAAGTCAACCCTGAGATATATATAACATGATAATAGTATCCATTAATTAGCCCAGTCTAATTATCAATCAGCAAACGGATAGGGCAGGTTGAGGTCAAAGTCTAAACCCCGGCGAACTGGATGATCCTCTTGGACAATGGTGACGACGTCCCCACTACTGCCGCTCGACGACTGTGACTTCCGGCTTTCCCTCTCCCTGTAATGTTTGCGGTGATGCCCCCCAACTGCTTGACCAGACGCAAACAATGCCCCGCAGATGTTGCACACATAATAACGGGACTTCTCGCCGGAGCTCTTTGCGGCAGGCTGCTTGGGGCGGTGGCACGTTTTGTGGCCTCCGAGGGCTTGGTGGGAAGGAAACGTGGCCCCGCACAGGTCGCACACGTATACGGCGGGTTTTGCCGGCGGAGTGGGTTGCCGCTGGAGGCAGAGACCTCCGCAGCTGATGGAGAGCAATAGGAGTGCGTCCACCGCGCATTCCTCGTCCGCCGAATAGTCCCGCTGCCGTGGCTGTGGGGGCAGCGGCGGCCGGTGGCCAAACATGTTGCCTGCTGTGTGTGTCATTCTTGTGTTTTTGTGTCTGTGTGTGAGAAAGAGAGAAATAAAGCTTTTTTTTATTAAGTGGTGTTATTTTTTTATCAACTAATTAGTTTTTGATTACTAGTGTGTGTTGGTGGGTTATGTATATAAGGTTTTGAGTACTTTATTCCTATTTTGTTTTGAATTAGGTGTTTCAACGAGTTAATTTTGTGTTCAAATTAATTAAAGTGGAGAGAGAGAGAGAGAGAGAGAGAGAGAGAGAGAGAGAGAGAGAGAGAGAGAGAGAGTTGTATGTATATTCCCATCTTTCCTTTTGTGTTATGGAAACTAATTATGACAATAAGAATAATTAATTTGGAGTGAAAATATATTTTGGTAAAATTACCATAATAATAATTTGATAGGGACACAGCTAATGGATCACGTGTTTATTATTAAATTTAAGTTAAAGAGAAACTATTATTACCTTAATTAAAAATTGGTGAAAAATTAATTTTATTATTAGTAGGTAAGGTCCCCAAATAAATCGCAATTGCAAAAACGTGCAAGTATAATATATCTATCTATCTCTTTAGATTGTGTTGACCTGGCAAACAACAAGTCCTTGGGGTGTAAGTAAACCGAAACTGCGAGGGCGGTCGATTATCAGTCATCAAATCACACACACACACACACACTTGTACACAAAGACACAATCCCACCGAGTACGCGTCCCGATAAGTTCTACGTATTTTGGCTAACGCTGACAATTCACCTATTTACAATAGCACCCCGATATATCTCAAATTTACAAAAACACCATTCAATCTTGTTATCAAACTTTCAAATTTACTTTCTTGGGGTCAAAATATAAATTTATTTTTTGATGTAGACCCTAGTAAGATATTGTCCGCTTTGGGCTATTTCCGCCACCCGCACGGCTTTATTCTTGGCTGGGCTTCAATACACACCCACCAAAACGCGTCTTACTAGTGAAAGTATCCACATCCTGAAAGTATCCACATCCTCATATAAGGCCTGCTTCGTTTCCTTTCAAACCCGATGTGGGATGCGCTGCATCATCCACCCCCCCTTGTGGGCCCAGCGGTCACCGCTGGCACATGGGCTGGCTCTGATACCAACTGATGCAGACCCTAGTAAGATATTGTCCGCTTTGGGCTACTTCCGTCACCCGCACGACTTTGTTCTTGGCTGGGCTTCAATACACACCCACCAAAACGCGTCTTACTAGTGAAAGTATCCACATCCTCATATAAGGCCTGCTTCGTTTCCTTTCAAACCCGATGTGGGATGCGCTGCATCATTTTTGTAGATAAATATTAAATACCCTATCCAATGGAGATAGTCGTGAATTTTACGGAGGTAAATTAAGATTTTTAATTATTTATATATTTATTTTTCCTTTTTTAATAATTTAGCAAAACTAGAGTGGCAGTTTTCGTAAATAGTCACAATAGCCGAGGAGTATAAAGTAAATGTGAATCCTTCCACCGCCTTCCCCACGCAACTCTTCTGGGCCCCACAGAGGAAACCTCCCACACACTAACACACACACATATATATATATATATATATATATATGCACCCAAATTCCCCACACTCGCTCATACTTCTCTCACTCTCAATTTTATATATCCTTCACATTGAAATTTCTCTCTCTAAAGAGCCAAAAGTAAACAATCATGGCGATCGAATCAATCTCCTTCCTGTCGGCGGCCGACGACGGCGTCGAATCGCGTAGGGACGCCAAGCGGCCGAGGCAGGCCTCCGGCGACCAAGAGGACCACGCCGCCGCGTCCTCCCTCGTTCTGCTTGCCCGAGGCGGCGGCGCCGCCGACGCCGCCTCGACCTCCGGACGCGCTGAATCAGGCAAGAATTTACCCTACGCGTGCGACTTCTGCGGCAAGGCTTTCCCGTCTTACCAGGCTCTCGGCGGCCACAAGACCAGCCACCGGGTCAAGCCGCCGTCCGCCGCCTCGTCGGTGATCCAAGATTCGTCAACCTCCGGTGGCGGCTGCGTTCCCGGTCGGATTCCGGCTCTGAGGGTTCACCAGTGCCCGGTCTGCCACCGGGTCTTCCCCACCGGACAGGCCTTGGGCGGCCACATGCGCAAGCACTACGATGGGGTGATCGGGAAAAACGCCGCCGCTAAACGTGGCGCCAAGTGTGTATCCGAGGAAGGCAGCGGCGCTAGCGGCGTCACCTCCGCCGACGGGGGCGTCGACGACGTGGTGGCCCCCGTTCGCCTGAATTTCGACCTGAACCTGCCGCCGCCGTCAGAGCAGAGCGTGGGGCTCATTAAGTTTCTTTAATTAAATTGAATTGTTTTAGGGATTTGTTTTTCCAATCTTGTGTGTTTTACGGTTATTTGTAATTATCTAATTTTATTAGCCTTTTTCTTGCTTTTAGCTTTTGCTATTCTGAATTTAATGCAAACTCAATATAATACATTGTAGAGTTATTATTGCAGTATGCTTTTTTTTTTCAGATTTTTTTTTTATTTTGTTATTTAATTATTATTGATTGAGACGCTATGATCAAAATTAATGACGTGAGCACAAATTCGCCTAACAAACACATATACCACTAGCATCACAAAATTAAAAAGACTATTAATTAGAACGAACCCTGCAATATATGATCCAATTGTGTTTCTAATTGTGTTTCAATTGTAGAATTTTAAAGGCAGTGCTAAGATTATTGTGCATCTGCAATATAAGAGTATCTCCAACAATGTTTTAATCGAAAACGGTGTTTCAATTACACAATTCTAAATGTAGTACTAGGAAAAACTTCATGATCTATTTTTGATGATGTGGCTTTTTAAAATTTTTTGAACTTTTTTCACATCTCAAAGCCATGTCATACAGGCTGAGTCACTATTTTGTACTCTTATTTAAAAAAAAAAAAAAAATTGAGAAGTTGGAAACAGACGTAACTATACGGTAATTTTTTGTTGCAAAAATTTTTAATATGTTGTGTAACTGTTAGTGTTTAGACATTTATCATTGACGAGTTACTTAGTCTATTACGTCCATGTGGAGAGAAAGCTTTCTATCTACTCGACAACAATTCATTAAGTTAATTGAAGATGTTCTAAGTTACTATTCCAAATAAGAACGTCAAAGTCGTGTAAAGTTTTATTTCACACGTAAATAAAAAAAAATAAGGCCAAATTAATTGAATGTTAGTTGCACTTTCTTGTGCTACTTTCAAACTCGGTATGAATCGCTCACAATCTTTGTAATGAACAGCTCATATTCGTTCATTTTGGGTGTGTGTCTATGGTTGAGTTTATCCACGTAACTTTATCAAAGCACAATTTTATTAATGGGTAATTACTAATTATTCTTTGATATTAATTATATAATAACTGCAAATAAATAATTTATGAAAAAGGTTGTTGGGATTGATCATCATCATCATCATCATCATACATTATTGCTGAATCTAGAATGACACGCTTCTCGTTCTGGAGAAAGAAAAGGACGGGCTTAAAAGTTTGATATAAAACTGATTGATGATATGGTTAGCTTCCACGTGTTCAATGATTGGTCCTAAGTATATCCTTTCTTCGATTGTTCTAGAACCTTACGGATCTTAGAAGTTCCAACTGATTTAATAACGTGTCACCCGTATGACCGATAACACTTGATAACAATGGTATAAATTAATGTTTTAAATAGCTCGTTTTCTCTATCCAAATCGTAATTTTATATACTTAGCGTTTTTTTTTTTCTTTTTTTTTTTAAAGCTTACACGAAATGTCGAAATAACACTTTTTTTTTTTTAATTTTTTCAATACAAGGTATAAAAGATGGGTAAACTATCAATTCGGAGCCTGAAAGATTTTTTTTCCTCAATTTGGGACCTAAATATTATAAAACTATCAAATTAAGTCATATACTTAACAACACTCATATTGATCCAGTTATATTATATCATTATACTTTTTTGGTATTTGGTATTTAAATTTAAGAAATAAAAAAGTTCAGATCTAGAGGTTAAAATTAAATTCTACTTAATTTCAAAAATTAATTGCAGTGTATATGCTTAAAAATTAAATTATGACTTATCTTATTGTATTTTCGTTGTTTGTTTATAAATGTTAGTATATTCTCTTTATTATTTAAATATTTACATTATGACAGACAACAAAAACAGAACCTCGGAGGCTAGAAGATAGAAGTAGTGACGAAGTTCCAACCTAAAGCTAGCTTTTAGCTTATCAGTAATTTTTTAGTTTATAGTTTATGACTTATAGCTGAAAAGCTAACTTATATAATAAAAGTGTTTGATAAAATTAACTGAAATAAAAAATTCAACTAACTTATTTGAAAAAGCTACCTAAATAAGCTTATCAAATAAGCTCAAACTTTTTAAAAAAAAGTTCATTCTACCAAACGAGGTTTATTAGTTATTTGAATACAGGAGTCTTATAAGCTAACTAAATAAGCTATAAACTATCTTATTTGTCTACCAAACATAGCCTAAACCAGAATCCATCACTCACAGAAAATGCTAGAAATAATGAAATATGCCCCTAATGGTTAGAAAGTATAGGTTCCCCTTCCTGAACGCATCACTTAAGAAATTAACAGAATACCATTAGATAAAATAAACATTTACAAAGATCCTTCCAATTCCTCTGTTCACCATCTTATCCCCCACTCGTTTCACCCAAATTGCCATCTCAAAAGAGGATCTCTTAACTGAGATATGCAGTCCTCAAATTTAAAGAAAACTCAAATGTTCTATTGGCTTATTATTACACAGATGATACAAGTCGTAACTATTGTTTTAATCATTTACCTAACTCTCGATCGAACCAGAATAAAACGATTAAGATATTAAACAATTACGAAAAAAATATACCAAGAAACAATTAGGCTCAATATTAAAAATAATAAAAAAAAGTAGATAAAAACAACAAAATAGAAGAAAGCCTACAAGGTCGAAGTAGATGATGACGGATGGCCATAGAATCAGACAAACGGATGGCCATAGAATCAGACAAACGGAAGCCCGAGAGGTGGACAGCCGGAGACTTAAATAATCAAATTAATCACATATCCATCCAATGTGTACTCAAGGAGTACTTGGTGACTTGGTCTTGAATCTTGAACACCATTTAATCAATAGGTCTTGGAGATCGGCATCCATTCTTGTCCCAACACCTCCCCAAACCAGCATATGGCTCACATCCCCGAGTGATGACCCTTTTACCTCACACACTTCATTGAACCCTATCCTTTTGTAAAATCTCACCAGCTGCAAACATTCATTACATCATCTAACACATAAAAATAATCACAAGTTTGCACTACCAAGTTTGACAAATTCTTTTTCTATCTCTTTTTCTTTTTTATTTCCATAAATTGCACATGTAGCAGAAGTAATATATAACATAAAGATAAAGATGATTTTGTATAGCAAGACTAGACTTTAAGAGTAATTATTGTGATCATTCTTATTCTCAGTAAACAGGAAACCACGCGTCGTGAACACAAATATTGTACCTTAGAGTGATAAAGTTCGGTATCGTTTATGGCAAGCAACTCGGCTTTGTTACAACCACATTCATATCCATGCCTAATTGCAACAGCACCGATGAACAAACCGATCCCAAATATTGATTTCTCCAACCCAATTGTCTCCCTTTGCAACCTCATGGAATCCAAATGCAAGATTTTACCCCCAAACCAAAACCTAACCAACCCCTCAGCCCGACCCAATTCCCTCTCGGTTGTCAAACTTCTAGCTATAATCCTGAAAAAGGGCCCAAATGTATTGAGCTGAATTTCAAGATTCTGCTCTCTGGATGCGCTCATGATATCAGACATTGTGGGCAAGGAAATTTCGAGATTTTTGGCAGGTGGGTTTTGTTGGCTGACACTTGATTTGAAATGGTTTTTTGGTTTAGCTAAATTCAAAGTACGTGTTTTGGTGGGAAGTAACTTGTTTGCGGTTATAATTGGTTTTTCTAGATGCACGTAGGAAGAAGGTGGACTTTTGATAGCCTTGGCTAACTCCATGAATAAGAACCAGATAGCTCTGACTGAGCAGAGCCAAGTTAGTAGGTTCTGAAAAGAACAACAAGCCGCCTTATATTAGTTGATTATATAATTATAAGATAGCTATAGCAAAATTCATCAAATAAAACTTTTCTCCAAGTAATATTTTTCTAGAAGTTATGAGTATAAATGTGTGCATATATCTGATGAGAATTCTTAGACAAATTAATACTTCAGGCTTCAAGGGTAAAAATGTCGGATGATACATAGGCGGCACAGCAATTGTACTTCTATTGCAACTTTGGCAGACTCTTGAAATTATGAGAAGAAGAAAAAAAAATGGAACTAAAAACATTTATGAAGACTTCAAACACAATGGAGCACGTCAATGGGGGCAAAATCACACGATATCCTTGGTGTGGCTCAGAACAACAGCACGGCAATTAACTGCCATGTTTTAAAGATAAACCTATACTATTTTTGAAGTAATGCTTGCTTACACCTAAAAATGGCAAGACACGTATGTACAACTCTTATATAGACTTCAAACACCAACGAGCATGTGAATGGTTCAAAAACTCATCAACAGAGGTGCTGCTAAATTTGACCGAAGAAGCCAAGTGTTGTATTCGTATTATACGCATAACCTTTTCAAGGAGATATACTTCTAATGTTTGGTGTTCTGCGCTAAAACACATCTAAGACGCCCAAAACGAACAACCAGACACGAAAATACCAAGTTTCAAACAAAAGCCCCCATCAATTCCTTAAATTAACCTTATACAATCTCAACCTAGGCATCAAACTGTTTATAATCATGTTAATAACAATAATAATTCCTTCTCTTTCTTCCCAAATTACGAAAGATTAAATTCCTCCTGACCTTTGTTACTCACACAGTGACAGACAAAGTAGAGTGCCTCGGCAGCCCCTGGCGGCTCCGATGATTGCACGATGGTTTCCGAGCCCAATTAAGACGGCATAACCCAAGAGAAGCTGGAGAAAAGAAGCCGAGCGGTTATCGGAAACGGAAGATTGAGAAGTGAGGCCAGATAGAACTGTGTTTATCTTTTATTTTGTACGTGTCGACGAGACTCGAGAGGAGCGCGCGAGCGAGAGAAATGGAGAGAGGGACACAACGTGTGTGCATTACGACGTCTTGCGCGCGTGTGGTATCCCACCAACTCCTTAGAGCATCTCCAATGTATCGGACTATCGGGAAGAACATTAAACAAATTGTCTGTTATTAAGATGATTTAATTTAATTTGATTGGTGCAAAATTATAATTAGTTGAAAAAAATAAATGATATGGATAAATAATATAATAGGTAGCCGAAGTTGTCTAGAACTACTTCTACGTCTTCTAGAATTTTTTTTTAGGTCACATAAGTTTTTTTGTGTCATGTGGGAATGAAACGAGTCAACCCAAATACTATTGGAGATGCTCTTATACTTCCTTTCTTAAAAAAGACTAGTGGGTTGTAAAATTTTTGTTTTGCGTCCAATCGAAGTAAACTTCGACTCCAAATCACCTATTTTCCAATATTCCCAATTGGTTTAGATTTATTGGTTTGATATGGTTAATTTTAGAAAAAAAAAATAGTATGATGTATTGTTATTAAAATTTATAGTTTATATTAAAATAATATTCTTAAAAAATAATTAAAATTGATTTGATGCAAAAGTATGAGAGATGATGTGAAGTGGTGGTTAGTTAAAAGTATGTGATTGATGAATAGCGAATTAAAGTTGATTTAACGTGTAAGAATGGTTGAGTGGTAAGGATAGTGGAAAATTGAGTTAGATTTGTTTTAAAAAAATGACTGATTTTTTTTTAAAATATTTGTATCCAACCATCCCCTAAAAAAACTTTTTCACTATTCCCACATATGATCGAATTCCAATAACATACTATTGTTCATAATAATATGAAATTGTTCCATTCCTTATTTTTTTTTATCTTTTCTGCTTTCGGTTTACTCAGGAGCATATCTTATTTTTATGAGCTCACTTCACTGAAATTTTTCAAGACTTTTTTTTTTCGAAACGATATAGAGAATTATATATCAAAACGTAAAAATGTGCAAAATGCACAACCTCTAGCTGAATAATACAACCAACGGCTAAAAAACTAGGAGGACATGTCAGAAGATCCAACAGCTGAAAAACTAGGAGGACATGTCAAAAGGTCGTCTATAGCCAACCTAGCAATGCTAGAAAACAAACTCACAACAACCTGAAAACAAAGAAACTACAAAAACTATTTATAACTCCCATATAGGAGACTAAAACGACACCAACGGAGTAATACCCGCTCTCACTTGGACACACAGAATTCAACGACCCAGACCAAAACTCCGATATTAGAACAAACAAAAAACCTAAAAAACACACAAAACAATAAAACAACAAAATAAAAGGCGGAGAAACAGGCAAACCCTCCCTCAGCAGAACGAACAAAATTGAACATCGGACATAAGTCGACACCCAGGAGAGATTCGAAGCACATGAACCACGCCCGTTACTCCCAAATGCCTAGCAAAGATGAAGTCCCAAGCCCCGAACCAGTCCAAAAACTGACCCACTTTCCGGCTGTAAGTAGCCACAATCGCCCCCCAAACCGACTAACACCACTAGCCAATTCCGGCACCGTCCTGAAACTGACTAACACCACTAGCCAATTCCGGCAATGGCAGTCCTCCCCCAGACTCGGCACCGGAGAACAAGGGAGAAAGGTGTAAGAATGGAGTCAAAGCCCCAGTTGCTCCAACACAGCCCGGGCAAACGACAAACTCCCCACCCAGGCCCCCAAAACGGACCCCGACCCATCACCACTGCAACACCGAGGTGCGAGCAACCGTTTGTCCAATTTTTGTTACGTTTTTCGTTGTTATTTTTTATTTCTTTTTCCCCATATTAGGTCTTTTCGTTCGTTTCAAGTTTGTTTTGTGTTTAGTTTCTTGTTCTTTTTTTTTTGGAGTCTTTCTGTGCTTTTAGTTTGTTTTTCTGAATTTCTACGTTTTTCTCGTGTTTCATGTTGTGCAGGTTGAGTCCTTGGTCGATTTGGATATTGAGGGAAAAAGTGATTTGACGAGATTAATTTCGTAGTAGTATGCGGTGGCGTCACACGGGAGAAAACTTAATTGAATTCATTTTTTTACACGAACTCGATCGAACACGAGAAGCACGAAGCAGTCCAAGAAAGCTTAAGCTCTCGGCCCAGACAGAAAATGTATCACTACCATCACGGCAACCTACTCTAGTTTTTCTCCTCGCCGTGAGACAACCGGCCTCCACGCAGTGCCACCTGAGCTTCTCCACGCCGCGGTAGTTTCTCCCTTCACGCCGTAATGGCACTTCGCGCCGCGACGCCATCTCCCAGCACTTGATCTCTCCACGCCACGAAGCACTCCACGCCGCGAGACCTCCCTCTGCCGCGCCGTGCATGGGCGCCACGCCGTGTCACCAGCATCCCTCGTGCCGCGGCAAGCCTGCCACGTCCCGAAGCCTGCCACATGCTTTTCTCGCTGCGCACACCAGAAATCCTTGGCCGCAGCCGCGACTTCTCCTCTCGCGGCCGCGGCGAACAAAGCAGGTCCCAGCGCTCAGACTTCAGCAGAAAAAACTCGCGGCCTTGGAGCTTGTCGTGGCCGCGGAGCCCGTACTCACTGCGGCCCGCGGGCCTCTCCGCGGCCGCGAAGGTCGTGCATATCAGTTTTCTTAATAGCAGATTTTAGGCGTTTTTGGGATGATGTTTTTGAACCTAGGTTTGATTTTTCTCTCGTTCTTTCCCTTCCCAACTCGTTTTTCTTTCTTTTTTGATATTTTTTGACGGAGAATAAGGATTTGATCTCAGATTTGCTATTGCTTTTGGATTCAAGCTTGTCTATCGAATTCGGCTTTTGGATTTTAACAATCGTAAGATTTTCTTTTGAATCATTATGCTAGGGATAGGGAATTGATGTTTTGAATTCGTCTGCAATTATCATGTTTGTGATTGTTCAATTTGTACGAGTCGGTCTTTTTAATGGGTTTTTCAACTGTCGGGCTTGAATACTGCGAATTGTTGAAGGGTGACACTTCAATTCCCAATTGTTTTCAATTGAATTCGTTTTATTCGTGCTCGATAATGGTAATTCTATTTGATTAGTTGGCTAACCACCCTCTAGTTTACTTAATCGACTCTTAGAACCGAAAGGGGAGGAGTCGGTCGAAATAGACTCGTATGAACTAGGCTTGTTCGTAGCTGTATTGCCTAGGCGTTAAATGAATTTCTAATTTGTCGTTCAAGTTTGTTCTCTTGTTACGAAGAGTTATTGAGGATGAATACTTGAACGATAGATTATTCAAATCACTTAACCGAACAATCTCTTGCTTGATAATTGCATTTCGAATCAAAACAGATATCCCTGATTCCCTAGCTTCTCAAATCCTGCTTGTTCTACGTGCTAATCTGCTATTTCAATTTGCTTATTTAAATTTTAGTAGTTGATAATTAAAATTCAACTAATCATATTAATTAGAATGTTTAGGAATTCTATTTATTTTTGTGTGCTTGAATAAACGCGCATTATATTGCGGCTAACCTTCCTCGTCAGACACGACCCGATGTTCGAATCATTCGATACTACTCCGGAAAAATATTCACAACAGCAACCGAAGATCGCAAGACAACACCGACAAGAATAGAAGATCCGGAACAAGGACATCCACAGAGCCCAGACGAGAAGAGTCGCCCCGACCCAGTGTCGACGCAAGCGAGCCAAGCCACATCCACCCACTGGCGCCGCACCCACCAAGCCCCACAACCCGTCGGCGGACTTCGCAC